TCCTTTTTTATTTCTTCGTGCTTCCTCGAGAACAAGCACCAACAATAAAATATATCACATAAGAAAATGCTTCAATCCAGAAATTATATTACTTCTTAATGTCGTATAATAAACACAGTTTAAACAGAATGAAACTACAGCACTTGTAGATAAAATATCAACTTTATTTTATACTTTCAAAAAAATTTAACTTTTTATAAAAAATTAAATTGTATTGACAAGAAGATTGATTAATGTTTGTATCTTCATTGATAAAAGTATTACTTTAAGAATTTATAAATTGTCAATTTGTATTAGTAATTTTTAACATCACTGTTTAAAAATTATTTTTGAATGTTTATTTATATTTTCAAAAATTCTCTTTCAAAGTTGCAATATCTTAGATATAAAATGGAGGTAATTAAATATATTTTTCCAGGGACATAAATGTATTATGAAATTTAAAATCTTAATTAAATTAGAAAATAATATTAATAATTAAATTATTATAGTATTAATAATAAATGTTATGATAAATAGAATGAAATATTTAAAAAAAATGGAAAAATGATTTATCCATATATTCTCGTTTATATTTATATACACTATTATCTTTTTTACAGATATATATGTTTTATGAATGTATTGTTCTTTATTTAATAGTTTAATAGTTTAATAAAAGATATTATAAAAAATAAAATATAATAAAGGAATAAAAATAGAATTAATAAAAAAAGATTAAAATTTTCATAAATTTTCATAAATTTTTTATTTTATTTATAAAATATAAAATCCTCATTGGCTTTTAATAGTATAAATTTTATACATCTTATATAGTGTATAACACTATTATTATTTACTTGATGAGAGTAGATATGTCAATTTTTTGCCATTGCTGGTAACTTATAATATAATAAATACTTCTTGCACATCATTCAATTTTCGACATACATATTTATTTTATTAATATGTAATACATATTTATTTGCAAATAATTTTTTTAATTCATAAAAATTCAATTCAATTTTTAATTTTTAATTCGTAAGTTATTTATTAGTAACAAAACAAAAAAATGAGTGTCCCGAAAAAAATGAGTGACCATTTTAATTAAAAAATATATTATTATTAAGCTATCATTATTATGATTTTTCTGTTTGAAATTAGCATGTTAATTCTACACAGAGCATGTTAATTCGTCACACGTGTCGCAGCGGCACATGATGCTTTTCGTTACTGCATCTGTTAGTTTGACATTCTTTCTTTCATTTATCAGTTTGACAGTCGATGAGATATGGGATTTATTTGCGTAAAAATTGATTTTTTGGTTTCTGCAGTTAGAAGTTAGGACGTTAAAAAAAATTCAATTGTGAAATATATCCTTATAAATACAAAATATGAAAAAAAGATTTAATTACGTAAATATCAATAAAAATATGCAAATATCGATTTTATATTGAAATTACTATGAACATCTCAGAACATTTATATTATAATTATCTCTCTATGATTAGGCTGGTATCTATATTATGCTTTTATGACATTTAAAAATAATAATACTAATACTAACAATAATAATAATATAACAATAAATTATAATGAAACAGAATATAATTTGATTGATATAATGTATGTATTTTTAAAATGATATTTAATTTCGTAAATTTTAATACTTTCGTAAATATTGTTGTTACTTTGAAAGTTATTAGACATATATGCAATATTATTACATATGTATGTTATATCGTGCAATATAAATGTGTATGTAAATTTTTTAAATTTTAATATTTAATTTCATGTCAACAAAATATCCAATACAATTATAAAACTGAAAATTGAAAACTGGAAATATAAATAACAATGTATCTGTAACACATGTCATATGGATTTACGTGACAAATATAATACTAAAATGTTGTAATGTTTATTCAATTCGGAAATAAAAGTGGAAGCATATATTTCTACATATATCAACTTCTCGATAATTCGTTAATTAAAATTTTTCGATGCAACTGGAAGAAAATCTTGAAAACAATGTTGGTGAGTAAATATTCGATTAAATCTGCTTTGCTTCAAACAATCTGTTTCATATATTTATTATTGTATATATATTTATATATACAATTGTATATATATTGATATATTGTATGATTAAAACATATTTTATATTTTATTTATAATACTAAATTTTTACATAAACGGGTGCCATTATTTTATTTTATCAAAATAAATGTTGTCATATCATAACTGGAACATGAATATATGGTA